CGGCCGTCCCCGCGTCCCCGCCCCCCATGCACCACCTCCTGGAGCAGCCCGCGGACATGGCGACGGCGCTGCTGGCCGGCGAGAAGCTGCGAGAGCTCATCCTGCCCGGCGCGCAGGACGACAAGGCGGGCGCGCTGGCCGCGCTGCTGCTGCAGCTCAAGCTCGAGCTGCCGTTCGACCGCGTGGTCACCATCGGCACCGTGCTCGTCCCCATCCTGCTGGTCACCCTGGTCTTCACCAAGAACTTCGCAGGTGAGGCCGCCGGGCGCGGGCGGGAGGGGCTCGTCTGCAGGGGTCGCGCTGCTCCATCGGGCGCCGGGCACCCGGCTGGGCCTGGCAGTGTCGGTGGCACCCAGGGGTCTCCCAACAGACCGTCGACACCACCCATCCTGCAAGTGGCACCAGTCTCTCAGGCTGCCCGCAGACCCTTCTCCATGTATTGTCTTTACCTTCCACCAGCTCCGGGACGGTGGGTCCTGGACCTCGTGGTCCAAGCAGAAATGAGACGTGCCAGGGGCTCTGGCATGAGAAGGGGAAACCAGGGGGGGGGGAGTGGGCAGGGTCTGAGGGGAGGAGGAGCCTCCAGGTGAGGACCAGAAAAGGACTTACAGGTGGTGAGAAGGATGAGAAGGAGAGCAGAGCCGGCACTGGGCGAGGTATGGGGCAGGACGCCCCGCCGGTGAGGGTCCCCAAGAAGCAGGCAGGTCCTTTAGGTCCAGGGTGAGGCCTCCCTGAAGTGGGCCGCTAATGAGGGAAATGCACCCCCGCCCCAGGGTCTGGCCGGCAAGGTTTCTCAGAGCCCAGGTATTCAGAGAGGCCCCTACCTAGTCCATCCGCCACGCTTGAGGGCCAGGGGTGGCAGTCCGTGTCAGGTGTGTCACGGTTCCTTGAGGAGAGACATGCTGCTCTGTCCTGGGTGACATTGGCTTAGGTTCTTGCACAAAGTTCTTGCCTTTTAGGGTCCCTGTGACCTTGGGGACATCAGACCAGAGGGTGGACATTGTCCAGGCCGCCTAATCCCACTTCAGGGTGGGAGGGGGCACACCAGTGCCCAGACACTCAGACAGCCTGGGCTTAGGACATGGGCTGGGAGGCACCCGCGCATGTGCACCAACCCACAGTGGGGCCTCGAATGTCACTCGGTGGGCCCCTGAGGCTGCTGTAGCAACTCAGCGCAGGATTGGTGCTCAAAGACCCAGACCTTGGTTCTCTGCCGGGAGTCCGAGCTCCAGAGCGTGGGGAGGGTCCCTCCTGCCTCAGCTTCTGGTGGTCCCAGCAGTCCTTGGCTTCACTGAGGCTGCATCACCCAGTTTCTATCCCCGTCTTCTCACGGGCACCTTCTCCCTGGGTGTCTGTATCTAAACGTGCCCCATCGTATGAGGATACCAGTCACTGGGTTGGGGCTCACTTCATGTGACCTCATCTTAACTTGATCACATCTGCAAGCACCCTATTTCCAAGGAAGTTCACGTTCACAGATGCCAGCTGGGGTTAGGTTTTGAACATCTTTTGGGGGACGCCACTCTACCCACGACAGATGCCCACGGTGGGAAGCAGCCTCAGAATTCAGTCACCCTCAGTTGACTTCCTGATCGGTCCAGGCAGGACAGTGGTGCTTCTCAGACCCAGGTGCTCCTCGGTCACGAGAACTCGGAAGCATCCTGAGGTCCCTTCGCCAGACACAGGACAATAGGGGTGCAGGGGAAGGGGGCCATGCAGGTGGGCACCCCATGTCACAGGGTGAGTCCATTAGATGGGGCAGGGGTGTGAGAGGAAGGTGAGGTCAGAAGCTGTAACTGATGAGAGGGAGGTCGTTTCGCCCTCCTCCCCCTGGACAGGACCACGCCTGGGGACGCGTTCCCCTTGGCACTGTCTCAGCGTCCATCTGCGAGGATCTGAGCCCAGGGAGTGGGTACAGGGTGTGTCCTGCTGCTGCAGAAGGATCCACGCCCCAGCCACTGGGAGCCCAGCCTGAGCCAGGGCCCCGGTGCTCCCCCCACTGACCCTGCCCAGTGGCTGCCCTGGAGCAGGGGACAGCGGCCTCTGTGCGCCCTGGCTTGCTTGCCAGGGATGTGAGGGGATCACCTGCAGGTGCCGTCCGGGTTGTGGTGAAGAGCTGACCGAACGCTGCTGGCCTCTGAGCCTGGGAGGTCCCTGAGCGGCAGGGGTTTGCGTCCCAGGCTTGGAGGACAGCGAATGGCAGAAGAGCCCCACCGCTCCTGGCCAGGGCTGCTGTGAACAGAACCCCCATCAGTGGGCAGAGGGATGGATGGGCATGTGGCAGAGACGGGGAAGAGGCCAGAGTTGAAGGGTTACCAGGGTCCTTGGACCTTATGCAGCCGGGGGTGGCGGACCCACATACGCTTTTTCCTAAAACAGACAAATAATCAGGTCCCAGCGTAACCCGCTGCACCTCTCCAGCTGCAGTCGTGCAGGTGTCCCAAGGCCACTCGTCCCAGCTCAGTCCTCTGCTTTCCTTTTCTAAAAGTCTGTAAGGACTGTGGATTCTGGGAAGGATGTGGACCTCCTCTGGGATGAGGGGAGACGACAGAAGGGGGTGGGGGCCGTGAGCCAGATCTGGGGGTGGCAGGGGTGGGGTCCTGCCAGCCAAAGGAGCAGCCTCCACGGAGTGGGGGCCCGGGAGTGGCAGAATGGTGCTGGCAGCGGGGAGCAACTCAGCTTCACCCCTGAAAGGGCACTCGGGGGCCTACTGAGGCTGGGACCCCCAACTCGGAGGGGGCAGGAGTGTGCAGACACGGGCGCCAACTGATTCCTCCCTGAAGCTGCAGCCAGAGCACCCGGCTCTCCTGTGGCAAAACTTTTCTGAGGGCGCTGTCGTTGGCCCTGGGAGCTCAGCAGTGGGGTTTCCAGGGGCACGCAGGCCTAGTGTCCTCTCTCAGGGAATAGCCAGGGACACCCAGGGCGGTGCAAGGCTGGCCCGGCTGTGCCACTGGAAGAGGGACCCTGGTTGAATGGCGCGGTCTGTCTTGCTCATCTCTGGGACTCAGTTTCCCCCTGTGCACACAGAGACTTTATGGCAGTTAGAGAGGGGCCTCATGTTGGAAGTGCAGGTTAGTCCACTGGGACTGGATGGGCATAGCTGTAAACCCCAGCTGTGCGGCAGCCCACGGCTGTGAGGGGGTACCTAGGGTGAGACGCCCCCACACCACCGCGGTTGGGACATGGGGGAGGGGCGGCCCCTGAACTGGGTGGGTTCTTTTGGGGAACAGCAGTCCCCGCAGGAAGCTGTGTGGGAAGGGTTGAGGGGCGCAGCGCCCCAGGGGTCTGACGCCCCCAGCCCGCATCTCCTCTCTGCCCCCAGAGGAACCCATTTACTGCTACACCCCTCACAACTTCACCCGCGACCAGGCCCTGTACGCCCGCGGCTACTGCTGGACGGAGCTGCGGGACGCGCTGCCCGGCGTGGACGCCAGCCTGTGGCCATCGCTGTTTGAGCACAAGCTGCTGCCCTACTCGCTGCTGGCCTTCGCGGCCATCATGTACGTGCCAGCGCTGGGCTGGGAGTTCCTGGCCTCCACCCGCCTCACGTCGGAGCTCAACTTCCTGCTGCAGGAGATCGACAACTGCTACCATCGTGCGGCCGAGGGCCGCGCTCCCAAGATCGAGAAGCAGATCCAGTCCAAGGGGCCCGGCATCACGGAGCGCGAGAAGCGCGAGATCATCGAGAACGCCGAGAAGGAGAAGAGCCCGGAGCAGAACCTGTTCGAGAAGTACCTGGAGCGCCGCGGCCGCAGCAACTTCCTGGCCAAGCTGTACCTGGCGCGGCACCTGCTCATCCTGCTGCTCAGCGTGGCGCCCATCTCCTACCTGTGCACCTACTACGCCACGCAGAAGCAGAACGAGTTCACGTGCGCGCTGGGCGCGGCGCCGGACGGCGGGGGCGGCGGGGGTGCAGCCGTGCGCGTGAGCTGCAAGCTGCCGTCCGTGCAGCTGCAGCGCATCGTGGCGGGCGTGGACATCGTGCTGCTCTGCTCCATGAACCTCATCATCCTCGTCAACCTCATCCACCTGTTCATCTTCCGCAAGAGCAACTTCATCTTCGACAAGCTGCACAAGGTGGGCATCAAGACGCGCCGGCAGTGGCGCCGCTCCCAGTTCTGCGACATCAACATCCTGGCCATGTTCTGCAACGAGAACCGCGACCACATCAAGTCGCTCAACCGGCTGGACTTCATCACCAACGAGAGCGACCTCATGTACGACAACGTGGTGCGCCAGCTGCTGGCCGCGCTGGCGCAGTCCAACCACGACGCCACGCCCACGGTGCGCGACGCCGGCGTGCAGACCGTGGACCCCAGCGCCAACCCCGCCGAGCCTGAGGGCGCCGCCGAGCCGCCGGTGGTGAAGCGGCCGCGCAAGAAGATGAAGTGGATCCCCACCAGCAACGCGCTGCCCCAGCCCTTCAAGGAGCAGCTGGCCATCATGCGCGTGGAGAACAACAAGGCCGACAAGCCCAAGCCCGTGCGCCGCAAGACGGCCACGGACACGCTGATCGCGCCGCTGCTGGACGCGGGCGCGCGGGCGGCGCATCACTACAAGGGCGGCGGCGACGCGGCCCCCGGACCGGCCCCGGCCCCCGACAAGAAGCACGCCCGCCACTTCTCCCTGGACGTGCACCCCTACATTCTGGGCACCAAGAAGGCCAAGCCCGAGGCCGTGCCCGCCGCCCTGCCCGCCTCCCGCAGCCAGGAAGGGGGCTTCCTGTCCCAGGCAGAGGAGTGCGGGCTGGGCCTGGCCTCCGCAGCCACCAAAGGTAGGCAGCTGGGCAGGACCCTGGATGGGGCGCGTGGGCGTCTGTGGTCCCAGAAAGCAGAGAACCCCGGGAGGGACCCCCACCCACCACCCTCCCCAGATGGGGCACCTGGGAACCCCATGAAAGAGGTGCAGGAGTGAACAGGCCGGCAGAAGCGAGGGTGGGCTAACGGCGGGGCTGAGGACCGGCAGGGCCTGGGAAACCCCTGGGACGGACGACAGGATGACGCGTGGGCCCGAGGGCTAGAAACGTGCGGCGGTGAGGTTGCTTAGGCGTTGGAGAAGGTTCTGGAAGCGGCGCCGCGGTGTGCAGAGGGCCTGGCTGGCGCCTGCCTGGCTGAGGAGGTGGAGGGAGCGAGGGAGGACCGACCCCACCCAGGACGCGTCTGCACACCAGCCCCAGCGGGCCCTGGAGGGCCCGCCTGCCCTGGTGGGAGCTGGGGGACCTGCGGGGCTGTGACGCTCCTGTTCTTGGCTGTTTGCAGATGCTTCGCTCCCTGAGAAGGAAATTCTGTACCCAACAGAGCCGGCCCTGGCCGCGCTTCCCTCGGGGGGCCCATTTCACGTCTGCTCGCCCCCCGCAGCCCCCGCCACGGCCCCCCTGTCACCAGCCAGCCTGGGCAAGACTGACCCCCTCAGCATCCTGAGCCGCAATGCCACCCACCCGCTGCTGCACATCAGCACGCTATACGAGGCCCGGGAGGAGGAGGACGGGGGTCCCCGGGCACCCCCAGACATGGGCAGCCTCATCACCATCCCCCCACCCCAGCAGATTCTCATCGCCACCTTCGACGAGCCCAGGACAGTGGTGAGCACCGTGGAGTTCTGAGGGGACAGCTGCCTGGGCCACTGCAGGTCCCCCTGCATGAGCGCGGGATGCCAGACCCCACCCCCGCGTGGACGTGGCCTCTGCTTCGCCAGCACTGCCTGCCCCTCGCCTCCCACCCGCATGCCTCGGGCTCACGGCCTCTCCCACCCGCCCCATGGCGTTGTTGGGCGCTGGCTGGGCCAGGGGCTGGCCGCGACCCCAGGGAGCCTCCCCGACCCCGCATCAGGCGCTCGGCTGTGAGATGAAGAGTTTATTTTTTTAGTCAATTTTCTCTTGGGTCCAGGATGCCGGCCTGTGAGGGACAGCGTGGGTCCCAGGCCTGGGCGGACGCGGGATGGTGGCACACTGGGCCTGGGCACACCCAAGAGGTCATATTCATGGCTTGCCCCATGCGGGGGCCAGGGGCCGGGGGCCGCCTCGGGTCACAGATCTACATGCACTTTCTCCTTGTTCCCCAACATACCCGTACTTTATTTTACTATGGTTACTGTAACTAGCAAGTATATTTATTATCAGGAGACTTAGGGTGCATTTAAAACAACGGGTGGTGTGTGTGTGAGCGTGCGAGTGGCAAGAGGGGAGGGCGCCAGTGTGCAAGGGGATGTGTGTGTGAGATGCTAGCGTGTGTGAGTGGGCAGCAGTGTGCAAGCGTGTGTGTGAGCAGGCCCAGGGGTGAGCGAGCGTGTGTGAGACCAGGCGTGGGCACCGGCGTGTGAGCAAGGAAGGAGTCCAACGCAATAACCACGTCCCCCGCCCGGGCCACCAGCCCCCGGCCCCAGGGCCCACGCCGCATCCCGTGGGAGCCCAGGGCCGGTGTCTATAGGCCTGTCCCTATTACCTCAGCCACGACGACAACGTGACAGTATTAACAAGGTAGCACCGAGCATATCAATAAATATTATTCTGATACCGCCTGAGTCCTGTGTGCTCCATCCTGCAGGAGGCCGTTGCTCTGGCCAAGGCCACCCGGCTCCGGGCACCCCAACCCAGTGGCAGGCCCATCCCTGACCTGCCATCATCACAGGGGTGCTGGGGAATGATGGGGCCATGGGAGGCGCCCCGCTGCCCTCCAGGTCACCCCAGGGGGCCTGCTGCGCCCACAGTGAGGCAGGAGCACATGGCTGTCACTCCTGGTTGACGCATTGTGGCCTCTGGCTAACAGGAACACTCTGGGCCACGGAGGACTCAGGTGGGCCCTCCAGGGCTCACAGGCTCAGCAGAGATGCAGACAGGAGCCCCTGGAGGCTGTCCCCTCCATCCATCAGATGCTTGGGGGTGGGGCTATCGGATACACTTAGGAGAACACGACTGCTGGCAGGACCTAGGAAGCCATCCCGGAAGAGGTGCCACTGATCTGGTCTGGAGGTGCTTCTAATATCGTGGGGGTCCAGGTCGAGGTCTTCACTAGCAGGCCCAGGACTTGAGTGAGGATAAAGCTGATCCTGTGAGTGCACCATGGAGCCACACGCCCTGCAGGCCACGTGCAGGTGACCTTGAGGGTCTGAATGGACACTGCAGGCAGGAGACTCAGGGCTAAAGCGGGCAGGTCCAGGCCCGGAACCGCAGGGAGGGCTCAGCTGAGATTAAACGGCCCACTGCTCTGTGGGGACCTGCCTGGCCTGGCAGCCCTCCGTAGGCCCCTCCCTGGAGCAGCCATGAGCTGGGCAGGCTGCCCTGGGAGTCGGACGGTCGTCCAGGGAGCCGGGCAGGGGCTCCATCTCATGTGTTTGAAATGTAGGTCGTACTGGTGCTCAGGTGTGGTGAGGCCAGCAGGTCAGGAGGCACTGGCCATTGAAAAGACAGTTTGTGACTCTCAGTCCCCAAGAAGAGGGGGCCACGCCACGGGTCAGGAGGCAGAGGCCACCAGGGAAAGCGGGCACAGCGGCCTCTGCTGTGGCTTCCGCAGGAAGGTGCGCGAGGCAGGGTGGGCAGGCCAAGGACGGGCTGTGTGAATGATGTCGCAGGTCCCAGCACAGGTGCTGCCCCTAGTTGTCAGGTACCTGGTCCCCGTGGGTGCAGGCAGGTGGGGAGTGGCCCCATATAGGAGCCCCACCGAGGGGACAGGCTCTGGACTGGCTGGTTTGTACTTGAAGTTTGCTTTCTCTAGGAACTGGCTAGCCTGGGAGGGGTGCTCTCTCCCGTCAAGAGGCCCCAGGTGCCAGAGCATCAGGAAATGAAAAGGCACCATTAATACAACCCGCTCCCCGAAAGCAGCCCCCTCACCTGAGTCAGGACACTCCTGGCCCAGCACCCCAGGCCATGCAGCCCACTGCCCCTCAGGGAATGGTGGGGCATTCTATGCATCCATGGGAAGGGATCCCATGTGCCCACTGGACTTGAGCAGGCCGGCCTAGTCCTGCAGAGCTAGATGAGCCCCTGGCCCCGGCAGCAACCCTCTTGGTCCCTCTATCGAGATGATAGAGGCCTAGGTGACCCACCCAAGGAACCCACGTCATGCCGGCCTCAGGTGGATGCATTTGCCACAGGCCCCCTGCCACTCCCTGAGTGGGGCTAGAGTCATGCTCGGCCTGCCTGAACCTCCCACAGGGACCTGCCACCCCACCCGACTGTACATTGGGCCATCCGGGCCCTGTATGGTCGTCCCTGCCCCGCTGTGGCCTCCAGCTCATCCTGCAGACACTGGTGGCTCCACTGAGGATGAAGACAGCCCCAGGGTCCTACAGGGTGCACACTGCCCAGGCAGGGTGGCCAGCCCCTCTCCCACGCTTCCTCCTGTGCCGCGGGCTGCACAAGTTCACAGGGATCCAGAAAGCTGGGGCACACCTGCCGCTGAGTCCCCGGTCTGTCCAGGGGAATCACTGTCAGGCTGCCACCCGCCTGTCCCTGGGGCCAAGGCCCACCCAGAGAGGTATGTGGCTTTGAGTAAACGCAATGACCTTGGTGTGAGCTGACCCGTGCCCTGGTTTGCTGATGAAGAGGAGGGCCTGAGTCAGCCTCCCGCAGAAGCAAACACCTTGCTGCAGGTGCCGGGGGGGGGGATGCCACTTTGCCCCCCACAGTGCAGGGGGCACCCGTGGGCTCTCACGTTCCTTTGAAACGCTCCACCCTCCATCTCCTCACTCCCCTCTAGCCTCCGGCAGGGACGCTAGGGACGGGGGTGGGGGTTCCATTCCTCTCGGAATAGGAGAGGCTTGGAGAAAACCTTGCGCCCCATCCACACAGCCATGACTGGAGCCCAGGCCTCTTCCCAGCCCAGCGTGGGCTTTCATCTTGCCCCACAGTGGCACAGCACCTGGTGAACGCCACTGCTCTCCTGTCAAGGTGGCCAAGGCGACCAGGAGGGCAGAAACGATGAGACAAAAGGAGTGAGTGGTGAGAACCATACAGAGGGCGTGGACCAGAGGCCCACGCCAGAAGAGCCCACCCTTCGCCAAGGAGAACAGAGACTTCCTGAGGTCAGCCAGCCCCCTTGGGGACCGGGATGCTGTATGAGAAAGGCAGGTGGCAGCCTAACAGACAGCACAGCCTCCTGGCCTGGAGGAATTATCTGCCACATCAGCCAGACCACAGGGCCCCCCTGGCTCAGACGGTGGGAACCTGTGACCCCCCCAAAGGCACCAGTGCCAGCATGGCTCCTCACAAACCTGGGCCGTATTCCTGGAATCTGAGCTGATGGGCTGGACTATCCCCTCAGTCCCAGGCCCGGCAGGTGGTCCTTCTGGGTCCAGGCTGAGGGGAGGAGAGCCTGCGAGGGCAGTCATTATCGAGGTCCCCTCTAGCCCGTGGCTCCAGAGTGGCTTGTCCTAGAGCACAGAAGTAGAGAGCCTCTCCCTCCTCCCTTTCCTAAAGGGCGCCCCTCTGGCACTGACCAGTGACAGCGCAGGCCAGGCAGCTTTCTGCAGAGCCTGGAGTCCTGGCCCAGATGGACGTCAGAGGAGACCTGGGCAGCGGCAGTGACCAGGAGGTGGACATGAGCTTCAGGGGAGCTGGCTGGGGGGGGGCGAGGCGGCGGGCTGGGGGGGTCCACGCGCGCGGCCAGCAGGAAGCCATCATCACACCCACCACCTGCGGTAGGTTGATTGGCCCGTTACTTTTCCGGGGTGGTGGGAGGGCGGGACTGTGCATCCCCTTCCCACGCACGCCCCCGCACCCTCCCCGCGTCCCAAGGCCACCAGCCTTCGCCCGCTTGGCCCAACGGGGACGAGGATCCAGGGTCGTGGGGTGGCTGCTCCAGCTCGAGCGCTTGGGGGGGGGTCGTCTTCCGCTGACAGCGGGCGGAGGGCTCCACCTCGCCAGGGTCCGCCCGTCCTGAGGCCTCTCCGAGGGTTGGCGTCCCCGTAACCCCGGCAGTCACGCCGAGGGATGGCTGTGGCGCCGGCGTGTGGGAGTCCTGGCGCCCCCACCCCACTCCGCAGCTGGCCGCGCGCCCCCCAGCAGGGCCGGTCCAGCCCACGACCCGAGGGCTCTGCTCCTCGCATCCCACTCTGGGTTGTCCCTTTCGTGCGGGATTGACGATTCTGTATCATTGGACGCAAAACCACCCTGTGGACGCCGTACGAACATCATCCCCAGTTTACAGACTGGGAGGTGCGGTCAGAGAATTTAAGAGCGCTTCGCAAGAAAGCCCTGCTCAGGCAGCGGGCTGGGGACTCGAACTCACGTTTCCGTAGCCACCGCCCGCATCCTAAGAGCGGAGTCTCTGGGGGCGGGGCTTCTCGCGCACGGCCCTCTGGGAAGTGTAGTCCGCGGGCGCTCGCGCGCAGCCCCCTGGGAAGTATAGTCCGCGGGCGCGCCGCCAGGACGGGCCGCCAGCACGCAGAACTGCGCTTCCCGGCATGCCGCGCGCTCCGGGCCCGGCCGCCGGCCCGTCCGGCCGCCCCGCCCCGCCCCGCGGTCCCCACCCATTTGAGGATAGAGGCGTGGTCTCCAGTGGAGCGGGAGGGCCAGGATTGTTGCGCATGCGAACTGGCCCCGCCCCGTCCGGTGGGGCGACGAGCCGCATGGAGGCCGGTTGAGAATCGCCACCCGCCTCGGTACGCCGCGCGGCACGGGCCTGGGGCGGGGACGGCACGCGGGGGCCCAGGGTCGGGGGTCGGGGTCCGGGCCCTCCAGCCCCAGCGCGGGCCTGGGGCCGGAAGGGCGCGCGGGGCGGGGGCCGGTGGGGAGGGTCGCGAGGGCCCAGGTGGCGCGGGCCGGGGAGGGGCGGGGTCCCCAGCCCAGGAGCGGCGGGACGGGGTCTCGCGGGGACCCGGCCCCTCCCGGGCGGCGGCCTCGCCCGCAAGCGGGGCGAAGCGAGGCTGCCATATGGCGGAGGAGCCCCGAGGAGTCCTGCTGGCCGCGGCCAACTTCAGAGGCCGGTGACAGCCGTGGCTCACCTCGTTTCTAGAAAGCAGCCTTGTTGAGGTGTAACTTACGTGCCACAAAGTACCACCAAGTTCACGTCTGCGTTTTTGTGGGAACTGCCCCAAGAAAAGGAGTCGAGGCAGCCGTGGCATCGGCACGTCAAAAACTGCTAGGAACTCGCTCAGAAGCCCTCGGCTGACTTCGGGGGGTCAGGACACGCTCATGAGGGAAGGGGTGGCTTCCAGGTGGAACCCTCTTGCTTCCGGGGTCCCCTGGAGAGGATGACGCGCAGGCCCCAGGCTCACTGTGCCCCTGTGCGCGCTCCGCGCCTCCCGTTGGCTGCCGCTGCTGCCCACCTTGCGGCGTGACTGGGAGGGAGCCCTGACCGCAGGCCCGGTCAGCCTTGCAGGATGGCCGCAATGATGTGTGGCGGAGGCTGCTGGGCAGGGTAGGCAGCCAGCCCCTGCACGGTGCCCTGCGATGGTGGTCAGTGTGAGTGTCCAGGTTCCAGGAGGGTCAGCCAGGTGTGCTGGTCAGGCCTCCAGCTCAGGTGCGAGTTGGCACGTGTCCTCCACAGGGGTCCCATACTTGGCCACGCCTCCCTAAAGCAGGTGCTGCCGGACCCAGTGGGGTCTCCAGTGGCCAAGGGTGTGGGGCGCAGACGAGGGCAGGGCTTTGGGCACCACCTTGCTGCCCCCCAGCCAGTCTTGTCTTTTCTGCAGCCCGCTGGTCTGTCCAGTTTGGGGCCCTTGGCTTTCTGAGCAGGCCTAGCGGGTTGACTGGGAGATGAGGTTTTTCTGGAAGCCACTCAGCGCTGGTCAGCCCTCGGCCAGCACTGGGAAGCCAGGCTGGCGTCTGGAAGGCAGTTTCTGGACTCCGGATTTGTAGAGGAGTGAGTGGGAGAGGATGGGCAGCTCACTACCCTGGGGCCATGACAGATGGCCGCGTAAAGGGTTTCTTGCAGTTCTGGAGGCTGGAAGTCCAAGTTCCAGGTGCCAGCTGATTTGGTTGCCGGCAGACCCACATCCTGGCTTGCAGATGGCAGCCTTCTCGCTGCGTCCTCATAGGGCCAGCTCCCTGGTGTGTCTCCTCATAGGGGCTCCGTTCCCATCGCGGCCCCGCCCTCCCGACCTCACCTGAGCCAGATCACCTCCAGAGGCCCCACCTTCTAACACCGGTACATTGGGGTCAGGGCTTCAACACATGAATTTGGGGGACACGATTCAGTCCACAGCACTGGGGCCCCGGAAAGGGGACAGCTGCCTGGGCTGGACACATGGAAACCCATGGGCCACCACTCACGCTGAACTGTCTTGTCCTCAGGCTCCGTCCCGTAACAGACACCCAGCAAAACATGTTCAAATGCTCAAACGTCATCTGACACAGTACAGCTCAACTCTCATCTGTGTCTCAGGGCTACACGCCCTGGGGGGGTGGGCCCTAACGCAAGTGGGGTTCTTCCTGCCTTTTGAGCTGCGCCTTCCCTGGCGTATGTGAGGAGACGGGTCCTCTCAGGCTATCAGGAAATCCCACAGACTTGGAGTTTGTTTTCCTGGAAGCACGTGCGTGACTCTGCTGCTGTCATCTGTGTGGAGGGTTATAATTCCCAAAGCAGACAGCGGTGTTGTCCCTGTAGACAAGAACTCTTATGTCAGGGTCTCCTGACACCAGGCTACTGGCTCTGCCCCTGCCCTCCCTCCTGAGGACAGGAGAGCGTGTCTCACAGAGCGAAGCCCACAGAAGTCTAGAGGTCATGGGCCAGAGTGCCATGTGAATGGGGCACGCGTTTTGCAGCCTGGGGAGGGCCTGCTGTGTGCGGCCAGGCAGATGGCTGGCTGCTCTAACCTGGGCCCTGGAGGCAGGAGCTAAGAGTCCTAGTAGATACATGTGTCCTGCCCAAGGCCACGCAGCGCACAGTGGCTGGTGGCAGATCTGGCAACCCCGTGGCCGTCTCCCGCGGCATGGTTGCTAGCAGCTGGCAAGCAGCTGTCCTGTTTGCCAGACGGACTGTTGCAGGCAGCATCGCCCACAGTGGTGCCCAGCACCTCCCCAGGTCGAGCTCCGTGGACAGTCCTGCTTGGCAGTGACAGCTAGTTGGAGGGGCGTGAGGACAGATCAGGCAGAAGCATCCTCCGGCTTTGTGCTGGGCTCGGGAGCCTCGCTTTAGGAGGGGCACGTTTATCCTGCCTTGAGGGTGTCAGCCAGGGGTCTTGGGTTCCCACACTGGGCAGTGGTGTGAACTGGCACCATCAGTCCAGACATTTTGAGGCAGGAAACCGGGAAGGACACGGATCCTCCACGGGCAGCCGCCTGCTGGTGTGGAGGCCGGGCCCAGTGGTCTGTGGGGTCAGGCCCTGGCTGCAGGTGGCCGTGCTCGGGAGGCATCAGGTCCCAGCCATAGATATTTGACAATGCGTAAGGGTGAGCGGGGTGGGGGTATTAATAACCCACTGAAGTGACATCCTACATGGATATTGCCAAAGCCCTGCCCGCGGGCAAGGGCACCAGAGAATTAGTGGTCTGTGACAGTGGATGTGACGGCCTGGTGACATCAGAGAGAGAAGGGGCCTCAGCGGCCTTCCTGCCTGACCCACAGGCCAGGCTCCCGCCTCTGGGGAGGGGCTGCAGGGAGCTCAGCTCAGGGCGTGGCTGTGGGCCAGCCGGGTCTGCCCGCCAGGAGGAGCCAGGACCCGGCAAGGCGGGCACAGGCTCCCTCCTGGGCTTCAGAGGGTGGGTCTGGCCAGGCTCAGTGCCCCGAGGCCAAGGGAGGCAGGCCCGGCCCCGTGGCCAGCATCTCCCAGGGAGGGCAGGCCGAGGGGACGTGGTGACTGTCGGCACGGGACGTTTCCTTAAGCTCTTCCGCACTTTGGCTGTCTTGTGCTGCTCAGAAGTAGGACTCTGCTTCTGTGCGAGGCCGACTGCGGTCCTCCCCAGGAGCCTGAGAGGCGGGCAAACCCCCAGCTGTGACCTCTGGGCCCCGCCCGCCCTGGGGCTCTGGGCACAGCTTCCTGTTTGTGTTTCCTGGGTGCCTTGCATCTGGGAGGAGTGCTTTCATCTGTAACCGGAAGGAGCTGGGCGGTGAGGCTCAGGTGTGCTGCCTCGGGCTAGGCAGAGGCCTGGCCCAGCTCAGACCAGGTGCCAGTGGTGCTGCTGCTACTTCCTGGGCTGAGGGCACCTCTAGGAGGAGCGTAGCACCTGCCCAGGGCAGGGCTGCCCATGGCTGGCTGACCTCCCACCAGAGCCCAGTGCTTCCGTTAGCCCTAAGCCAGTTCCTCTTCCTGACCCTCCCTCCGACCTCATTTCCACCCGAAGTCCTGTCCGTCCTCGGGATGGGCTGCCCCCTTCTTGGTCAGCTCTAGGGCACGTCTGTGTCCCTGGACAGCAGGCCAGGCGTTTGGGCACACCAGGAGGAAGCCCTGCCCGAGACAGTTCCCCCCGGCTGCAGCCGAGGAAACGGAAGCTCAGAGGGGCAGTGAGTTGCTGGGTCGGTGGCCAGGCACAGAGGGGACAGAGTGCAGCCCGGTGACCACAGGGCATAGAGCGGGAAGGGGCTTATCATTCGTGTTCCTTTTTATCGTGAAAGTTTTGGAGGGTGTGCAGCAGTAGTGAACCTGGGCGTGCAGTGCAGCCCCTCTGGGGTCCAGCCTGAGTGTCCCCCACAGCGGTGGCTGCTCCCAGAGGTCGCATCAGTTCATCTGTAAGTTCACATGTGACAGAGACAGACTCTGAAACAAAACCACGACACCACACACAACTAAAACAACAAGAACCATCCCTGAGTGACCAACCTCCATCACTTGTCCAGTTCCTCTGGTGGGCGCACGGTTCTGGAGCCACTGCCTGTCCGGTGGCAGCTGGACCCCAGGTCCTGTGACTGAACTCACATGTGGGCCCAAGGCTCCGATAGACGCTGGCACTCCGTGGCGGCGACACTCCTCACGCCAGGGTCCGGGGATACCGTGTCCCCACCCGAGAGCCTCGCCCACCGGCCCTGGTGGCCTCGACGACGCCATGGTCTGTGGCGGTTTTCTTTGTTGGAGGAGAAGGCTCCTTTCTGAGGGGAGAGCGTGAGAGACCGGCGCACCACGCAGGCCTTGTCGCGGTGCCTAAGCTTCACGCTCGAGTCTCTTCCCTTAAGACAGAAAAAAGCTGGGCTGGGAAGGATGCGGGCACCCCCCACCCCCCGCGCCTGCACGTGGCACCTGCACTGACTCCTGAAAGTCCAGACACCTGGAGCGGTCTGGGGCGCAGCACTAACCTCGTACACAGACTCACTTCTGTTTGGTTCCCTTTTTAGGAAGTTGTGTAAGTTGTGTTTCGTTTCAGAGTCAAAAAGGAACTGTGCTGGTCTGCCCAGCCACCCCCTTCCTCTGTTGGGTAACGGAGACGTGGGGGTGGCAAGTCCGGCTCCGGAGGACCCCGGGCTCATGGCCACAGCTGAGTGGGCGCCCCAACGTTGCTCTCGGCCGGTGCTGCAGAGCTGGCCTGTCACCCATTGCCAGTCTCGCCCCTGCCACACCAGTCCTGGGGACCCTGGTGGCTGGTGATGCTGGAAGCAGGGAGGCTGTGGTCCCCTCCAGGGGTCATTCCGGGGCCGACCAAGTGTCCTGACGGAGCCCCGCACACCTGTGTCTCCTCAGGGTTCACTCAGCGGTGCCGGAGCCGCCATGGACGGAGAAGGGGAGCAGCCGCCTCGGGAGGTCAGAGGCCCGGCCTGGGCTGGGGCGGTGGCCGGGGGACAGGCCAGCTGCTCTGAGGAATGTGGGGTCCCAGGAGATGCTCCCCTCAGGGTGGCCTCTGTGGGGCACTGGCTGCTTCACGTGGTTTTCCTGCGGTGTCCCTGGGTCAGCAGAGGGATCCCCGGGGCAGGGTGCCCCAAGAGTGGGCTGCCTACAGATGATTATCACACAGAGGGTTCTAGTCCTGGGGGCTGAGTGGCCCACAGGGCCCGGGAGTTCGTGGAGCAGTTGCAGGAACAGGTGGGCCTGTCAGGAAAAGAGGGTGCCCGGCACCCTGACTCAAACAGTCCCCTGCCCTCCACAGGCCGATGCGGAACCTGTTGTGACATCGGGAGCTTCGGAGGTGGTGCCCAGGGTGCTTTCTGAAGAACCCCAGAGCATGTGTTCGTCTCCCCAAATCACTTGGTGCTGGGCGGGAGGGCCGGGCCACGGGGCCTCAGACTGGGTGACCTCCTGAGTTTGAAGGGGGCCCTGGCCCACCCCGGGACATTGTGGGGAGCAGAGCTGTCCTGGGTGCTCCCCTTAGGGAGGGATCTGGTCAGTTACATGTCATAATGACCAAAGACAAATGGCTTTGAGTGTAGGTGGCTGCATCTTGAGGCTGGGAGGGACCCCCTGGGGATGGAGCACTTATTGGGGAGTGCGTGCCCCCCCTCCCCCCCATGCACGTCTATCTTCCACAGTGTGGCACGGCCCCCACCTGGCACCCAGCAGCCCGAGGACATAGAGGCTCTGTGGTACCCAGCTGCCAGTGCGGGTGGTGTCCCCAAGCTGGGACTTGCTGTCTTTGCAGCCGACACGGAGGCTTTCAACCTGCTCCTGGAGATGAAGCTGAAGAGGCGGCGAGAGCGGCCCAACCTGCCACGCACAGTGACCGAGCTGGTGGCCGAGGATGGGAGCAAGGTGTACGTGGTGGGCACAGCCCACTTCAGCGATGACAGCAAGAAGGACGTTGTGAAGGTGAGCTGTCACCTGGCCCCTGGCAGGGCCACAGCCCCCAGGACGCCCGTGCCGCTTGAGAGGGTTCTGGGTCCACTGTCCTGAGCGGGGCCTCCCGCTGCAGCCCTGACAGCCCCGTGTGCCGTCCCTTCCTCTTCAGGGACAGGCCAGCCTGTCCCAGACGTTCTCTCTCGGTCGCTGAAGGGCCTGAGTGGGCGCTGGGGTTGCCCCGGGGACTGGGCCGGTGGGCGGGTGCGGGCCCAGGGTGACCGTGGGCCCGTTGCAGACAATCCGTGCGGTGCAGCCCGACGTGGTGGTCGTGGAGCTGTGCCAGTACCGCGTGTCCATGCTGAAGATGGACGAACGCACGCTGCTGCGGGAGGCCAAGGAGATCAGCCTGGAGAAGCTGCAGCAGGCCGTGAGGCAGGTGGGGCCGCCCAGCCCCTCCTGTGAGCCCGAGGCCCCGGTCACAGGCCCAGCGAGGCCTGGCCTCCGGTCTGTGCAGCCGTGCCCGGCCCACCCTGGCCCATGGGAGAGGGGAGGCACTCGTTTATCAGCTCTCAGGAGGAAAAGGTGGACAGCACGAGGCCCGTGGGTCTGCTGAGCGGCTCACTGGGGGTGGGGGTCGCCTCAGTGGCTTACCTGCCAGCCCAAAGCGGTATCCCCGCTGCGTCAGGGCCCGAGCTCACCACACCAACGGGCGCCCCGATGGGACGTGGGCGGAGGAGTTGGGTCTGGGCTGGAGGGGTGAGGGGGGAATAGGTTTCCCCCACGGGGCAGGGGCCAGGCAGCTGGCCATCGACTGTGTGGCCTTGAAGGGGGCCTGCCGGGGAGGTGGGGTGCCCAGGGCCAGGCGGAGCCTCGCAGTGTCACTGGGTGTGGGGACCCCGCGAGGCCCTTGCTGGCGGCCGGCTGAGTCAGGCTCTCTCCCTGCAGAACGGGGTCATGTCTGGCCTCATGCAGATGCTGCTACTGAAGGTGTCAGCCCACATCACCGAGCAGCTGGGCATGGCCCCAGGCGGCGAGTTCAGGGAGGCCTTCAAGGAGGTGGGCCTGCGCGCGGCTGGGTGGGGGCGCAGCACCCGGGCTGCCCTGGGGCCTGGGGCTTCCCCCGCCAACCCCATCTCTGCCCCAGGCCAGCAAGGTGCCTTTCTGCAAGTTCCACCTGGGCGACCGGCCCATCCCTGTCACCTTCAAGAGAGCCATCGCCGCACTCTCCTTCTGGCAGAAGGTCAAGCTGGCCTGGGGCTTGTGCTTCCTGTCGGACCCTATCAGGTAGGGCTCTGTTGGCCTCCTAGGAGGCAGCCCCAGCCCAGGAGTGGTGGCCAGTGGCCTGGGGGACCTGCAGAGTGCCCGGCCCACACATGGCTGAAGCCCACCGTGCGGAAAGTCCCTCCTGTCCTCGGGCCAGGCCTCCTCACACAAGGCCTTCCCACGCTGTCTGTCCGCCGTGACCCCATGTAAGGGGTGCCCAGGCCCCGCCGGGTCAGCAGGACCAGGCTGCTGCTGGCTGCCCATCCCCGCGGGGCTGGCAGCGCGCCCTTGTGTCCCCAGCAAGGACGACGTGGAGCGCTGCAAACAGAAGGACCTGCTGGAGCAGATGATGGCGGAGATGATCGGCGAGTTCCCCGACCTGCACCGCACCATCGTCTCGGAGCGCGACATTTACCTGACCTACATGCTGCGGCAGGCCGCCCGGCGCCTCGAGCTGCCGCGCTCCTCTGACGGTGACTGCCGGTCGGTGGGGCTCCCTGGGAGCCTGCGGCCGATGGGTGGGTGCTGATGGGTCGCTCCCCCAACAGCCGAGCCCAGGAAGTGTGTCCCCTCCGTGGTGGTGGGCGTCGTGGGCATGGGCCACGTCCCTGGCATTGAGAAGAACTGGACCACCGACCTCAATATCCAGGAGATCATGACGTGAGTGCCGCCTGCCCCTCGAGCCCCCCAAACACAGATCTGGGCGAGGGACGGGGTGGCCGTGCCTGGCTGGAGGCTGGGGGAGCACATCCCCGAGCCAGGCTCAGCCTGCTCTCCCTTCCCCAGCGTCCCCCCACCGTCCATCTCTGGCAGAGTGTCCCGGCTGGCTGTGAAGGTCGCCTTCTTGGGCCTGTTGGGTTACGGCCTCTACTGGATGGGGCGCCGCACCGCTAGCCTGGTCATGTCGCTGCCTGCCACCCAGTACTGCCTACAGAGGGCGTCCTCCGCCAGGCCACACAAGTAGGAAGGACACGGAGCCACCACATCTAAGGGCCACGTGTGGCTGCTCCCAGATAGCAGCTGAGGGGCGCGGGGCGGCCCCCATGGGGATCCAGGCCCGGTCTCGCCTGCCCTCCCCTAACTCACCCAAATAAAGAATTATTTAACTGCTCTGAGCCCAGGCTTCCCAGCCCTCCCGGCCCCAGGGACCATTCCTGGGGTCCAAGGGCATCAGAGCGTCCGGAGGTGCACGCTGCCCCTCTGGCCCCCAGGTGGGGTGGCCCCCAGGTGGTGCAGCATGGTAGGCCACAGCCAGCCACCCTCTCCCTCTCTGTGCCTTCCGGCAGGAGCACCCAGCCACAGCCGCTCACGGTTTGGGAGGGCCGGAGCGCCCCGCGGCCAAGCTTGGGGCCCCGGATGTGTGCCAGCACTGCTCTGCCTGCAGAGATTGTGGTTTTGGCTTTTAAAAATATTTGAAATTTTTTACTCAGGTAATTTTAACTTTAGCAAACTGAAGCAAATGTCAGGAAATACTAGCCTTAAATCTGGTTGGACATCTTGTCCTTGGGGTCTCGGTCCCAAGTGGGCAGGTTCAGCCTTGGCAGTGGGACCCCCTCCAGCTGTTCCCCCACCCTGCCTCCAGCCAGTGGGGGGTCAAGCCTGCTTCCTGTGCATCTGGGGAGGGGACCCGGGGCTCGCCCCGACCCTCAGTGGGCAGAGGGCGTGTGTCTGCCAAACTGTCAGCCAGTTTGCAAGTGTGCCAGCAGGCGCCCACCACCCTCCTGTGCACACACTTTGGGGTGTTACAGACAGGAGCCCAGAGCCGGGCTGGCCCCACACAGCACTTGCGCGTCAGTCAGTCAGTGCCCATGCGCATTGTCAGTCGATCTGGGCGTCTGTGTACAACGTGTCCGTGCAGCCTGTCTGGGCCACATCTGCTTGTCTATGTTGACTCGGTGTCTAACCAAATCAGGTGAAACCCACGGCCATGAGCTGGGCCGGGGGGCCTCGGGGCTGGACTGTGCCCTTCCTGTCATTCATGTACGTGTTCCTTAGAAACTGAAATAAAAGCTAATTTTGGAAACTCCTGTTTTGTGAAATATGTGAAAATCACAGAGCACCAGTGGCGTGTACACCGCCCAGGTGAGCAGCCAGCAGCTGGGCAGCGAAGACATGTTTTGTGGGTGTCACTTTGGTAAAGCAAGAGGTTACTTACTGTTTAGGGTTGGCAGGGAAGAGCCAGGCTCAGTGTTGCTGGTGGGGCCTGGCCATGGCACTCACCTCGGAGAGCCCAGCCGCAGACCGCACACCTGGGCACAGAGGCGTTCCCAGAGTGCTGTTCACGGTCAGCAGAGGCTGGAGGAGCCCTACACACCCGACTCGAAGGCGGTGCATGAAGACAGATGCCCAGCACCCATGTTAAGTGCAAAAAGGAGACCACAGAGTGGGGTGACAACAACATATGCTGAGCTGTGGGCGGGAGCCTCTGGGCCTGGGGAATGACTGGGAGTATTCACCCTATTTCTGAGAATTTGAATTTATTACAATGCAAATTTGTGTTACATTGACAAGCAGGAAAACAATAAGTTTCCTTTTTTCAATAAATACAAAGTGATTAGGGGAGAGTGGCTCTCCTGTGTGGACCGGTCCAGGCGTGGTGAGCGCGGGCGGCAGCTGGCATGACGGCTGCTGCCCCCAGGCTCTGTGTGACATGCATATGGATGGTGGCTGGACGGTGATTCGGCAGACGGGGCAGGGTGCAGCGAGGCGCCCAGGGCCTTGTCCTTAAAGCTGCAGCTTTGATCCCCACCAGGAACACAGGGCAGGGATGGGGATAGGGAAGCCAGCAGGCAACCGGCCTGAGCCTGGGTGCCCCATCCCTGCAGATTAGCACTGGCTGGGGCTGGAGCACATCTCGGGCCTGACCCCACCCCCAGCCCAGCCTGCACTGAACTGATGGTGGACCTCGGAGACAGACAGCCACACACTACGGATCCACTGTGACAGCTTCCACATGGACAAGCGGCTGAGGTTTGGCCTGTATTCAGGGAACACAGGTGAATGCCTGGGAGAGCTGGGGCTCTTCTGGCCACATCCCTGCCCCTCCCCACCCCCCAGCATCCTGCTTTGCTGATACACCCATGCTGGGGAGCGGGTGGGAAGCTGGGGACTCGACACCCCGATTTCCTGGCCCATACCTGCCAGCCTCCGCTCTCTGGAAAAGGCTGCTGCTCCCCAAGCGCCTTCCTTGGGTGTCCCAGATGTCGAGGCCCAGCGGAGAGCTGCTGTGGTTGTGAGGGGCTGTGGGGCACACCGCCTACACCACCCACACCCGCAGCGGACGTGTCTGGCCTCCGGCCACATGGACAACCAGGAGGGCTATGGCTTCAACACACTGGACCGTGACCATGCCGGCTGCAGGCCCCGCGAGGACAGTGCCCACACCTTCGCCAGCTGTAGCCGAGATCGCTCGGGCGCCAGCTAGTGGCACAGAGACTGCGGCCAGGCTGACCTCAGGCTGGCTAGAGCACACAGGGCCCCTCGGGTATGAGTTGGGCTGCTGGGAACCACGTGCACCAGGCCACATCCGCAGCAAGCCCATTATGTGTTCAAAACCAGCTGTCTGCGTCCTCCTTGCGGGTCAGGACAGGAGGGACCCAGCTCCTGCCCAGCCTGGCCGGACCCTGCATCACCAGTGGGCACCTGCCCATCAAGGCCAGGCACGGGGAAGTCCAAGAGGCCATGCAACCCAACAGTGAGGCCAGAGGCAAGGTCACCAGTGCTGGGAGGCCTGTGCTGACCTGCTGGAACCTTTGGCACCCACCAGGTACCCCCTCTGGCTATGGGCTCAGAGAGGGCAGACAGTAGGACAGAGCCTGGCACCCACCAGCCCTCAATAACCCAGTCCCACCAGATTCAGAGTGTGGGTAAGACAGTGGGGAGAAGGGGCAAGGAGATGGGTCAGGAGGACCGGGCTTTGGGAAGAGGGGAGGAGTGACACCAGGCTCAACCGAGCCTCCTAGCTGGTTACGAAGGAGGCTGGGAACAGGGGGCTCTGCCAGCAGGCCAGGGGGAAGGCAGCTGTCAGGCTGCAGGCGTTCTGGGGTGCCAAGCACCCACACGGACCTCACTATGTTGTCCCCCTCATTTGGGTGACTCCCCACCCCCACCCCACACAGAAGATAGTGTCACTGACCATCTCACAGACGAGGACCCTGAGCTGGAGAGGGGTTGAGGGGTTCCCTGAGGTCACACAGCCAGCAGGGGCAGAGCTGGGTCACATGAAGTCGCCAAAGCCCACGCTGGGGCCCTAGGAGGTGACTCCTTGAAGTTAAGAATAGAATCCAGCCAGAAGGGACCTTGTGTTTGCCAGGGGTCTCTGGCCCAGCTCCCTGTCTCAGGTTTTACTTTGGGGCCAATGGTGGGGGGAGAATCCCACAAAGCAGCACATGCTCCATGAGCGCATCAACTCATGAGGGCTCACTTCAACCCAACCCGAGTCGTTTAGCAACCCTGACCCCAACTTCTCACCTGGAGGCAGGCACATGGCCACCCTGCGCCCACCCTAGCCCCCTGACGCCTATGGCGGGGAGTTCCTGGGCTAGGTGCTGGTCTCAGAGCAGGGTAAGGAGAGTTACGCAAGAAACAGGAAAGCAGGGTAGGGCACCTTCCAGAGAGAAGTGCTGTGCCAGAAGACACGGGGTGGCACGGGACATGTGACAGGCGGGCACAGGATCTCGCCCATAGGAAGAGGAGCAAAGGCCCTGCTTGCAGGAGGCCCTGGCCCGCTCTCCATTTTGGCTTCGCCCTGGGACCCTTCCCAGCTCAGACACATCCCCACTGACCCTAGAGGGCCAGATCTGGACAAATGCTGTCCTCTTTCCCTCCTGACCTGATGCATGGGGCAGCGAAGCACAACCAGAGCCAGACCCTCAGCACAGAGTGGGGCCGTGGCTGACTGACCTTGGCTTCACCCTGGAGTTGGGGACACCCGTGATGGCCCACTGGGACGTCACTCAGCACAGTCACCCCACTCGGAGCACTCAATCTGGATTGTCAGGTGTCTCCCAGGTCAGACCACCAGGGACCTGCTGGCTGTTACGCAGGGCAGTCATTCTGGACAGCCCAGTCCCCTCTGCCCGCTCCAGATCTCAGCCGCAGCGCTGCGGACCAGAGCTGGAGCTCGCGGTACTAGAGACGGAACCTGCTGCAGAAGCCCAAACCTCCCCGCACCACTGCGGGGCTGAACCGCAGATGCGGACAGACGGGCGACACAACCAATCAGAGCAAAGCTTTCGCGGCTCGGCCCGCGCAGGCGCAGCAGCGGGCCACCGCCACCCCCACCATTACCCCACCCCACCCCTGGTGATTGGGCGACGAGGCACGCAGGGCGGGACGTCCGGTCGGAGCAGAAGGGTTTCCGTCGCAGCGGCGCCGCTTATGGCCTCGCTCAGGCCTCAGCTCGGGGCTTCGTTCGCGGCTGTCCGCGCTTTGTCGCTTCTCGGCTGCCGCCCGCCGCCCGCGACCTGCTCCACCTCGGCGGCCGCCTGCGGCGCCGCCATGGAGCCAGTGCCTCGCTGGCTGGCGGGGCTGCGCTTTGACAACCGCGCTCTGCGTGCGCTGCCGGTGGAGACGCCGCCGCCGGGCCCCGAGGGCGCCGCGTCTGAGCCGCGGCCGGTGCCCGGGGCCTGCTTCAGCCGCGTGCGGCCCACGCCCCTGCAGCAGCCGCGCCTGGTGGCGCTGTCGGAGCCCGCGCTGGCGCTGCTGGGCCTGGGCGCGCCGCCGGCCGACGACGCCTCCCGCGAGGCGCGCGAGGCCGAGGCCGCGCTCTTCTTCAGCGGCAACGCGCTGCTGCCCGGCGCGGAGCCCGCCGCGCACTGCTACTGCGGCCACCAGTTCGGCCACTTCGCCGGGCAGCTGGGCGACGGCGCTGCCATGTACCTGGGCGAGGTGTGCACGGCGGCCGGCGAGCGCTGGGAGCTGCAGCTTAAGGGCACCGGCCCCACGCCCTTCTCCAGGTGGGCGCTTCTCCAGGCGGGCCGGGCGGGGCGCCGGGCCTGAGGTGTGCTGACCCCCGGAGGGCCACCCCACTCTCTCTAGATGTGTGTGTGTGGGGGGCAGGCTGCGTGTGCATGCCCACTGAGCTTCGCCCCCGTTGGGGGTGGGATGTAACTCCGGAAAGTTTGATCTAGGGACGGAGGACATGGTTTGTAATGGCATCCTGGCGGAGGGAACAGCTTGTGGGAGGGAGGGCCCTGAGGCCAGGAGAGGCCCAGGCCTCCTTCCCTGCGGGCCTGCTGCTTGCCTGGTGCCCCTGCCCCCTCTGGCCGCCATAGTTTGGGGATTCCTGCTGACTGTCGTGTCAGGTGGAGCATCTGACGATCCCACAGCACTGGCAGCTGCCCATGCTCTGTTCTCACAAACCATCCAAGGACTTTGGACGTGTGACACGCTCGTGTTTACCGTGTGCGCAGACCAGCCACTGCTGCTCAGGGGAGCCAGGGTGACTTGTCAGGCGGACGCAGACAGCACAAGGCTTCCTCGAAATGCTCCGTGGGCGGTCTGCTTCCCGCCACTGTGCTCAGCATCTGCGTGTCCACTCCCAGGTGTCTGCTGGGCCACCGGAGCCCTGGGCAGGGACAACACCCCCTCGGATCCGCCCTCCCAGTGGATGTTCTCCCAGGCTCAGGCTTCCAAGCTGCAGGCCAGCCCTGTGCAGACCAGCAGTGAGGCGGGCAGTGTGAGGCAGCTGTGCAGGGGCCCGCGGCCGTCCAGGGCCTGGGTCCAGACCCAGCGGGGTGCTCTTCCCACAGCTGCCCTCCCCTCAGGTACAGACGCACCTGACGGTCTTGCTTTTTTCCACCAGGCAGTTCACATATTTAGTCCATATTCGTTGAATGCTTTTTGAATGGATAAGAAAATAGCGAAGTTGGCATTTTACACTCAAAGAAATCCTGAGGGTGTGTCTGTCCTCCAGCCACTCCTGTGCTCTCACCTCCTCTCCTTCCGGGGACGGGATACGTCCCCCCACCCCCACCCCAGCAGCTTTTTCTCAGCTCCTCAAAATAGCTGGTTCTTTCTCATCACCCATCTGCACACCTCTGTCTAAAGTTTTCCTGGTTCTGCCTGGCACCTCCACCACCCACCTCGAACACCCTGCCCAGAGCAGTCCACACCAGTGATCAACGGGAGATTCTGCCCCTTGGCACGATATGTAAATGCTTCTCCCCCGGAGCTGCTCATTCTGTGCACATCTTTAAACTTTATGTGTACATTTTTATAATTCATTTTTGCTAGTTATAGAGACAAACCTTTTTGTGAGAGGAATCAGCTACTGGAAGTCACTTTGTATTTGAACACTTGAGTTTTAAGTCAGTGCTTCCAGACCTGAGGTCTATTAGAATATCTTTTTTTTTTTCTTTAAAAGAAAGAGGCCCTTTGACCTTACTCAGCCGCAGGTGCTGGGGTCCTCAGCGTCAGTAACACTTGGGGTGTAGTGCAGAGTGGCTGTGAGTGGCTTAAGGCCAGCTGCTGGGTTTTGAGGGTTGGACAGGTAGCTGCTTCTGCCTCCTGCCTGCAGTGGGGCCTCTCTCGGCAGGAGCAGAACTCATCCTCAGCCGGGTCCATCCCAGCAGCCTGGCTGAGGACAGACATGGGCATGCAGGACAAGGGACTTGTCAATGTCCGATCAGCTGTGTGGGGGCAGGGCACCCTCTGAGGCCCTTCACCCTTGTTCTGTGATCATAGTTCAGCTCTGGCTTCTGTTTGGGAAACCTCACCCTGAGCAAGGAGACAGGTTTTCAGGTCATTTTTACCAGATTTGAGATGCGCGTGGGCTATGGTGGCTCCTGCCAGTAAACAAGAAATCCAGTTGGGCTGAGATGTGACTCCCAGGCCAGAGAGGGGGTGGAGTGACATTTGAGGACAGATTACCCTGACACACTTCCTTGCACAAACCAGGAGGTCAGTGGAGTACAGCTGTGGACTGAGGGTCACGCTGGCCAGGGGCAAGCAGTCACCCTTCAGAGAGCCCTGGGGTGAATTCCCAGCCGGTTTCCAGAGGTGTCGCTCACACCTGGGATGGCTCCCGGTTGAGGGCAAGCCGGAGGCCACCAGGGCCCGGAGTGCCAGTCTGAGCATGGCCTCTGCTTACCTTTGGCCTCCCTGGCCCCACTGTGCAGGCCCAGGCCCTTCCCAGCAGAGGACACAGGCAGCAGGCACAGCCAGACGCCTCACTCCGCAGTGGCGTCCTGCCAGGCAAGACAGAAGTTGTGCTCCTTGTCGTCCCACACGTTTTTGTTCTCAGATACCTTTCTGCATCGCTGTGGGTGCTTTCCTGCCAAGGAGAGTGCTGGCACACACTGCCCTTCACCAGGCCCGGCTCCCACGTGCAAAGATCCAAACTTACTTTGTTGGTATGTTTGTTTGCTAGGATGGGGGCCCTCGGAGGTCAGAGCGTCCAGCCCCTTGATCCTCCAGGGAGGGACATGGCTCTGCAGGCCCTTTGTTCTCATGTGCTGCTACCACTTTCTTTTTTTAAATAAAAATGAAAGAATTTCCGATCTGGCATATAAGAAGCTTGGAAGTCACCAGTCCATTCTAACAAGTAAAAAGCTGAACAAACTGGAAAATCAGCACCTTTTCTTAGCTCCATAAGAGAAGAGAGGTCACAAGGCAAACCTCTGCCCGCCAGACTGGAGAGACTGACGGCAGACAGACACAGAGAGCCACAACTTCCCAGAGCAGGAACCTCTGCAGGATCCTTGCTCTGTAAGTGACGAACTGCTGGAGGCTCGGTGTGAACAACTCAGAAACTCCAGGGGCACTGTTTTAAGGGGTCCCCACTCCTGTGAGTTTTATCTCCTGGAGCTCTATTAGGTTTGTACAGTAAATAGTGGAGAAAACTCCCCTTGTACTTTAGGCAGGGGGAGAGGAAAAGGAACCTTTTGAAACACACCAGAGCACTGTGCTGTGAGTGAGGCCTGACCTGATGGGGCTTCATCGGTGCCTGACTCACCTTGGTGAAGGGAATACCCCACTCCAGCCAGCTCTGGGGACAAGGGGACCAAGACACATCCATGGAAGTCCACAGTCCAGAGCACAGGTTCAGTAAAAGACTTACCTAATCCTAAGACTGTGAACATTACCCCCCAACCTACACTCATCACATCACTAAAGGCCTGTTTACAGCAGTTCCTTTCACCCAGGACATCAGGCCTGGCTGTCAACAGAAAATGACAAGGCACACCAAAAGGTGACAACACAGTGGGAAAAGACAGAGCAGCAGCAGAACCAGACTCATATGGCAGAGATGCTGGAATTAGCAGACTGGGAATTTTAAGCAACCGTGATTAATGTTCTAGGGCTCTATGGACAAAGTAGACAGCACGCAAAACAGGTGGAGGCAGAGAGGTGAAGACTCAAACAGAACCAGGAGAAATGCTAGTGATTTCTAGCAAAAACACTAATACAAATGGAGAATGCCTCTGATGGTCATGTTGGTGGACTGCACATAGAAGAGGAAGGAATCTCTGAGCTACAGGATATCTAAGTAACCACTTCCAAAGATGAAAAGTAAGGAGAGAAAAGACTGAAAACACAACAGACTGTCCAAGGATTCTGGGGACCTGTACATGCAGTAATGTGTGTGACGGGAATGCCAGGAGAGAAGGGACAGAAGGAATATCAGCAATAGTCACGACTGAGAGCTTTCCCAAATGAATGTCACACCAAACAGATCCAGGGAGCTCAGGGAACACCAGGCGGGATTAATGCCCCTGAAAACTGTACCTTGGCGCATCACTTTCAAGCTACAGAGAAGGAAAGATAAAGATAAAAATACAACAGAGTGAGAGGCAGAAGTCTGACCTGCAGAGCATCAGAGACGAGTTACAACTGCATCCTCAGAAACCGTGTGAGCGAGGAGAGCCGGGCGAAATGGAAGACCCACAGCCCGGACTCTACCCTGTGAAATGACCCTTCAAAAGTGAAGGGGGGCCGGCCAAGTGGCACGTTGATTAGGAGCTGGCTTGGGACGCCAGCTCTGAGCAGCAGGGCCCCAGTTCAGATCCCACATGAGGGCTAGTGACACTGCGCCCTCTACAGCTAAGATGCTGAACAACAGGTCGAGTTGGAACTGGCCTGCTGTGAGTCCCTGGCGATGGCGTAGGCTGCAGTGGGGCTGCCATAAGATACCGTGAGTGGCTGGCAGCCAGCATGAGCAACCGGCA